TTGATCCACGTCTCCCCTAGTAGCAACTCCAAGCGGATTCCATCCTCGAATCGTACTGGAAAAATCCCGATACATAAGCCGGATTTATACCGGATTTTGTCCACTTTGCTACTAGGGTCGGGACCGTCAACCAGCGATCCGGTTAATCTGCGTTTGTATTTATCGAAAACCATACGGAAAATAGAGCAGATCTGGCTATACAACGCTTAAATACAAAGAATGAAGAACTACATCACCAAAATAAAAATGACTGGACAACCTACTAACGGACTACAGAAGCGTGTGCTTCAAGAGAATAGCCGACGCAGTAGGCCGTCCAACGTCGTTCCGTAGAAGAAACCGACCCGGTTTTGTTACTTCCGAGTCGGAAGTTGCGGGAATGAAGGAAAAACAGGGTAACGTCTCAGTCGGTAGCAACCTAAACCAAGCGACCGAAAGGAGACGAGGCGAAGCTAAACACTCCTAATTTTACAATATTAACAGATAGTTATAAGTTTCAGGCAAACTTAGTTTAAGTAGTGCATCTCATATACCTCTGGTCCCGGCATTCTGTCTTACGGAGACAGCGGTTGTAGGAGTTTTGGAGATGAGGAAATACAATAGGCAGGGAAGGAAATTTGTAGAAGTGTAAATTGCAAAACTGGAGTTGAATTTGTTTCCCGCGGCCGCTGGGAGTAGGTTGTTCCGCATGTAGATTGAAAGTGTGCGCGGCGCTTTGCGCTGCGGACTATACTAATCTAACTCCAGAACGGTAAGTTAGGCTTCATGTTAGTCGAAGTAGACGACCTCCTAATCAACATTTATATCTTTTCAGGAATTTAAAGAGACCTGCATTTTGATGATCAGATTTTTCCGCAAAACATTTACCGGTAATAGAGATAAGGGAATTCCACGGATAAATAAACAACATTTCAAAATACAATAAAATAAAAATGGATGAAGCGGGTATTACAGTATATTCCACCTCCTACCCTAATTCCCCACCCATAAAACACCTATAGCCACCGCTTCCTTAGGACATGATGCTGGGACTAGGGGTATATCAGGCGCACTACCCAAACTACTGTTGCTAAATATTATTGCAGTTTGGGAATCACATTGGGTTTTTATCGTCTGTATGCCGGTGTTGGATTGGTATATTGATTGATCGCGTTCCCATTTTTCTTCCTGCGTGGATTATTATTTTGACGGCTTTGAAGTTGAACTTATGGTCCGTTTCGTTAGGTATGGGCAGCTACTTGCGGCAGTTCACCGTCCCGTTGCGCAGCCAGTCTATGGTCGTGTATGCGCGATCCGAGCGTGCATTCCGTCTGACCTGTGTATTTAAAAGGACAGGTTAGGCATGGAATGCGATACACGACCCTAGATTGCTCCTTGAGATTTAGTTGGTCTTTGAGTTTGATTTCTTTGTTGCTCATAGTAAATTTGGGCCGGTGTGTAATTCCAGCGCCTAGTCCCGCTTCTGAAACGTCTTTGCTTAATGGAGTAGCGTGCCATAACCTTTTTATTATTTCTGTTTGGGCCGTCGGGGGCCGAAAGCGGAGGCATCGGCCTATAAAGGCCTTCAACTAGCCACCCCCGCATACATTTGTCGCAGAGCTCTCGGGCCTCGCGTACTTTCTCCTTCGGCCGACGACAATGCATCTAAATTCGCTTAAAGAGTGTTCTCACATAAATTCATGTGTGAGTCACCGGATGGTTGCTGTGAAAACTGAGAACCTATGTGGTGTTCTTTGCCTCCCTATAAACCGTCCTCTGAATTTCACTGTTAGGGTTTCGCTTGACGAGTACGTCAAGGAAAGGCAGTTGCTGGACTTCCCCTTCTTCATCGGGGAAGGTTGCAATGAACAAGTTATGGAAACTCTACAGTCTGTGTTTACAGCTGACAAAAACGTGTATTCAACGTAACGGCGCCAGAAGGCAGGCCTACATTGGATGAAGGCAGCATTTTCAAGCTCATTTTCAAGCACCGGATCTGTACTATGCTTAACTTCGCAGTCACCAAGATAATCAGTCATATCGAAAATACAACGTGGCGGGAATTGCTTGAAGCATGGTCCCCAGATGGGAGCTCAGTCAATCGATGTATCGACCTGATACCGGCATACAGAATCCTTCGCAGTCACCTTAAGACTTGCGTAATCGATGGTTGATTTGCTTGCACTCCCTATAAGTGTAACCTCTTCTATTGCTGCCACTAGCTCTAACGATGGACTCCTGCATGAGTTCGAAAATCCAAAACAATGAACACAGTTTTATGGTGCGCGATCAGCCTTCGTGTTTATCCATACAAACACCAGGGACTCGAAGTTTAACGTTAATTAGGCGTCCTACTTAAATAAAGATAGTAACATGAAAGTTTATACTTATTTTGCTGCTGTGTGTGCTCTTCTGCTTATGACACGTCACTAATTTGATTTTCAAGGATAATGCTTGTTACTCGAAATGCAGGGAGCTATAACTCGCAAAAGTCAACAGACAACTGAACACTGAAGGACAATGAAGGATCTCATATACTGCGAAGTAACAGGCCACGCAGTTTTCGGAAGCAAAAAGCCAAATAATTGAATCCATTAGTGAGGTGCCCGAGAAACATATCTCGTTAAATGCCAGCAGTCAACTGTATTAAAGAAGAGCTGGCAGAAAGACATATATTGAGGTTGCTGGGTGCCAATGAACATCGCCGAAAACATTATCTCTTGCCTTCCACAAAGGTGTACAGTGACAAGTTAACTGGGATGATGTTGGACACAATGCCTAAGGTAAAGAAATTGCCTCCGCCTTTTGTTTATCACACGTACTCATTGAAAGAAGCAAGGAGGCCAGTTCCAGGAAACAGCGCAGAATAGGATGAAGATGTGATCGGCAGAACGTAAAGTTTGTTGGCCTGACTTCTTCGATTCTCACTCGAGCCTAGCCTTAAAGACAATCGCAGAAAAAGACACAAAGAGCGCATAGAGTGTTTAGAACATAGTTGCCATGCTTCCACATGCCTAATCCAATTAGCAGACCCCGCGTTCATCGCCAGGGGTCATATATTATACGGTGATGGCTCGTTAGTCCACATACGTGTCATAAATGGTTGTGATTTCGTCGTCATCGTCGCCACTGTCGAGTCTTGGTGTTATGACGACGGCGTTTCGACGAGGCCGACATTTTCGCAATGGCTGTCAACCGCGTAAGTGGGTGAACCGTTCAATTCGTTTTATTTGCTCTACAATCACGTGGGAATTCTGTTATTGCATACTAATCTGCCTATCTGTCTGCTTTGCTTGCCTGAAGTCTGATCCTGAGGTCATCTGTACAGTGCGCTAGCGCCTTTTTTAGATGAACTTCAGTTGCAATTTTTACCGACGACAGTCCATGAGGCCAGCTGTTGCACTTTGCGCCCGATTTGTCGTCTATGTGATTCTTCGACTTTAACCTTATCAAGCTCTTTTCAAAAAAGCCTATGCAGCGGAAGAAACACCACGGAGTTTGGCAGAACGCCCCCAAACGCCAACCAAAGAGCAAATTGTCAATTTCAGGCTTTCTGGCGACAAACCACCGTTCAATCTCCAACGCAACTCCAGATATGGAGTATTTTGTTCCTCTATGCCGTGATCTCAGTGGATGGAATCATTTCTGCTGAAAATGTGGGATGCCACTTTCAAAATAAAGCGTATATATGATTGTCTGGAGCTCACCGATCTGTTAAAGGAACAAGCCTGTTCCGTTTTGCCCCTACAGTGGTAGAGTGCTGTATTCCATGACCAAAGTCCCGGGTTCGAATCTCGGGTGATCCACACCTTGGGTGTGACTGGCTGAAGACGGCTTATAAGCCAGAAATGGCCATTCCGGTCTCCCTTGTCTTTGTCGGTTCCACTTCATATATACATCTTCTCCGGCCCGCTGTCGATTATCAGACGGGATGCCCCCCTGCCGGCTGCAAATTCTGTGCTGGGACTTATCCTAGACAGAGCAAGTGCTATTTCGACCATCGACTTC